ACATGCAGTTTTTGTTAACCTCACACTAAAACATCACTGAACAAAGCAAGGAACATGGCTGTAAATCTTCTTAACATCATCGATGTCAGTGATTGAGATATCAAGGGTCTGGGTTTATTTTTTGATCAGAATTTGTGTTCACACCATCAGAAATAGAGATTTCACTGGTTTTCAGGTAGATCAGTAATGGTTAACTGCAAAATTATCAGACTCGAGATTTCCTTTTCTGGAAAACACTTGGAAATGGTTTACAGCTTTCGAACCTAATTGCAAGAAGTTTGGGTTTGAATAACGTTATTCACCTCAAATTTCGTGTCTCAAGGAACAAACGCCCCTGAAACAACCATGATTTAGTGTCACTGCATTGTCAGACATCACTGAAATGTTTCTGGGCTGACACTACCATCTAGTGTCCCGGTCACAGACTGCAGCTTCTTTGGGGGGAAAACTGCACAATACACTTGTTTGTTCACTTCTATAATTACATTATCATAAATAATTCATCTCCCGAGACACGTGTACAAATAGAAAAGAGACTGAAGGCCACACAATGCCATCTTGCTTTTCCTCTTGAATTGTAATAGAAAAGCCAACTAGACACACAATCCTGGGTAAAAAAAACTTGAGCTGATTTAGTAATAGCTCTCACAAGAAGCCTAAGTGATGCGGTTGGTTTCCATACTTTTCTCCCAAAGGTCCAGTAAAATTGAAAACCACATTAATGCTCTTGTAGCAATCTGGGTTATTCAGCAAAACTGGCACAGATGAAGTGTGGAGCCTCAGTGCCACACAGGGCATCTCTTACTGCCTTAGGAGCATCTTTAGTTCTCCTGGGAGAGGCTCATGAGAGCTCTGCTGGACCAGCCGCACTTGAGGACACTTCGCATTTCCTGATGGGGCATATTTAGAACCTCTCCAGGATTCCAGAAGAGGTATCTTTTCTCTAAGATAGGTTTCCCACATCAAAAGCTTCCCTGGAGCCCCAGCCCCACTGGTTGTCTGCCCTGTCTCCTTCAGCAAGGGGCAGGTGGCTTCAGCAATATCAGCCTAATTAAGCTACAGTCTCTGCCTGCTGTGCCCACCCTAAAAAAGAGAGGCCAGAGAGCTCTCAAGTGAATTGCAAACTCTGCAAAACTGCCTGAAGGGGAAGAGAACTCTGTTCTGGCCAGGTTGCTGCAGGGATACTGGAAAACAGTGGAAGCCACGAAACCATGAATGTTGTTTCTTTTAAAGAAAAGCCTTTTCCAGCTTTTGACTTTTATTACACTTTCCAAAACAATTTCAAGAAGTTCCCCCTTTGACCTATGAAAACTCCTGTGCTGAAATATGCTTTACAATCCTCTCATTCCCCCACTTACAGTTTCAATGTGCTGTAACAGTATTTTCAACCAGAAAAATACTGCATTGGGGACTGCTGAGGCAGCTCTGCTTTATTGCAGACACTGAATGAGCTGTGACAGACTGTACCATGCCAGGCTCATTATACACATTTTCCACTGAAACACTGCAGTTCAGAGAAAGCCTTTAACCTGCTGATTGCAAAGAAGAGCCATTACATTGCTTTTGGTATTGCAGCCATAATGGCACCTTATTTCTTCAAATTATTGACACAGTTTCACAATGTTGTCTTGACATCCTCAGGCTGAAGGTATAAAGGTTCTTGAACCCTTTTTAGAAGACTAGCCTTTCATTTTTAGCACACTTAAAATATGCTCTCCAGTGGACTGTGAAGAAATCCCAAAGCTATCCTGCTGCTCAGACATCCCAGCTGTAATCCCCAGCACCTCTAATCATCCTTCTCTGATAAAGCCATGTGAAAATTAAAACTGCTCAGCTATTTGGGCCAAAGTGAACTTTGTTACTCCAGGATGAAAGGTACACAGTTCCTGCTATGGAGATGTAGGGGTAGAGCAAAGGTTGCTGGATTGCAGAGCCCTCTGCAGCCAGGGACAGGATGGAGATTGTTCCCAGCAGAAATCCCCTGCACTGGAGGCAGGACAGACAGCTAGGCAGGAAATGGGGCAGAACTCTGTGTCTCCCCACAGGCTGAGCCTGCCAATTGCCAGCCCAAGACCACAGTATCAGAGAGCAGCAAAACTCTCCCATCAGCCAACACTGAAGAGACTTTCCCCAGCAAAGAGGGACACAATCAATGGCCCATCTCGCTCTGGTCCTGCCAGAAATGTGATCAGGACTGACATGGAGCCAAGTCCTTCCCTCTAACATTAAAATGACGTGGTTGACATCTAAACCTGATGGCTCTTTTCTCTCTCAATGCAAACTGTGTGGCAGCAGCCAAGGAATCCTTCTCATAGGAAACTCATTTTATTGATTTAAGAGAAAACCTTATTTGAAATATTTGCCACCAACATTCTCCCTTGCCACAGATATGCACCAAGCAGAAGATGAGTGACCATTCACAGACTGTTTCCATCAGGATGGGAGTGATATCAGTAGAATTCATCATGTTCCTTCTCTCTCCTGCCACTTGTTAGTGCCCTTATTAATTACAGACACAAACAAACTCCCCCCTGCTTCTGTGGTTCCCAAGATCCCCAGAAGCCACACAGCTACTCAGGTTAGGCATGCCAGGAGATTATTTCAGAGCTTATAACCAAGAGATCTCAGGCTGATTGATGAAGGAAATTGATACAAAGGGGAATACAAAATCCACCTGTGACAGCAGAATCCCTCTTGAAACAAAGGGGGCAAGAATGCATTCTCTGTACTAAGGGGAAGCTGCTTCCATGGCCATAGGAAGAAGTTCTAGACAGGTTTTTCCAGAGTCTTGAACACCTTGCAGAAAGTCTGAGATAGCAAATGTTCAGGGTAGCTCCAAAATCACTAGGATCAGTATTTGTGTTTGTGTTTAGGCATCCATGAGAATTAGGAAACAAGGTTGTCTTACATGAACAATAAACACAAGCCAGAACTTAAATTTTGGGCTTAGTTGGTAGCAGTGGATTAGAACATTAGAACACTCTCAACTAAGGAAAATACTCAGGAAAGGCTTAAGTTCAACTTACTAAGCAAGAAGAAAAATCAATGCACCAGCTCCTTCATCCTGAAGGCTTATCACTGCAAGAAACAGAGCTTTGCTGTACTTGATCTTTGAGACCAAAATTAAAGCGAAAATTCAACTATTTCTTTCCAGTCCATCCTATTGCTGTGCTCCAAGAGCACCATACAGCAGCACTCCTCAACTGAGAAACCTTTTGGTCTGGAGCAGAAGCTGCTGTAGCCCAACTTGGTAAACCTTCTTTAGGTCACAGTGCTCAGCTTTGCCTTTGATGGGTCAGTGATCCCTCCCTTCCTCAGCAGATTCCAGACACCTGGGAATCAGTCAATCACCGACGTGGCTGGGAGTGACAATCCCTTCAAAAGGCACATGGGATAGTTTTACAGAGGAAGGGTTGTGTCTTTCTCCTTTTTCAGAGGGGATAGGAAAGAAGAAAGAATCTCTGAAGTCAGCTGGTTACCAGGCAATGAGTTAGAGCTAGAAGAACAGTCTGACCCAGCTGGAAGGGAAGGAAAAGCTGGGGAGGGCCCTATGAGAAAATAGGCTGAATATCTAGTGCAGGATGGTGGGAGGTTTTCTGGTTTATGGTCAAATTTGTCTTATTTGAGAAATGCTATAGGACATTAACCAATCTCTCAGCCTGCACAGGTAGGAGTATTATATTTAAGACCATAGAAATTGTTCTTGTACTCTGTCATGTGCTGTGTCACATCCCTCCAGGCTGTGCCCCCCAAAACTGGCCCTGCTGTCAGTGAAGGGCAATTTACTGAAAGTTTTGCAGCAGGTAGTGTCCAGGTTTGGTCTTTGAACTCACTGAGTACTCTGAGAAAGCCCTTCAGCGATATTATTCAGAGTTTCAAATTACTTGACATGCTCTAAATGCTTAAATAGATGCTGGATCCAGTCTTCAATGTGTTTAAAATTGTATCTGAGCTGGAGAGATCGCCTTAACTTTCATAGCTAAGACTTTGGACAGATAAGAAGAGCAATAATATGTTCCAAGAGTCAGAACTAGGTGTTTTGACAGTGTTTCTCTTGTCATTTTATTTAATAATCCATTGCCCCTCGGTTAATAGCTTTCTGCTTGATTAGCCTGTATAAATCAAAACTTCACGGCTTTATCCCTGACATGTTATACATTCTGAGTTGAGGGTAATGAATCGTGCCATGGGTTGATGTACTCTGCCTTCCATTTAAAGTCCTGTGCCAAAGAAACACCTTGGCTTTCAAATTGAGTTATCAGTATACTGTCAAATACCAGAGGAGGAAATGCAGAGGATCCTAATAATGCAGCCAGGGATTTCACAGCCCTGAGCAGAATATGAAGCTGCAGGGACTGGCTTAGCCTATGCTGGCAGCTCTTCACTAACGCGTGGAACTGCCTGCTCTGCATTTCCTGCCTCTCTGCTCCAACCTCCTGCCCACACTGCCCTGTTTGGAGTGGTGCAGCAGCAGCCTGGTGTCATTGCAGCTGATCCCACAAGGATCCTTCCAGGCTCTGCCACAAACCTGGGTCATGAGGCACCTGTGGCACCTCCACAACAGGTGTAGTTTAAAACGCTGAGATGTGGTTCAGCGTGAGCTGCTGCTTTTCCTCAGGCAGGATGGTTGCTGTTGGGTCCCACTGTGAGCAGCAAGGAGAGAAGCATTAGTTCCACTCCTGGACCTGGCTGTTACTTTTCCTACGAGGCTGGACTGTTCTTCCAAAAAAAGCCAAGCACTATTCGCCTTGGCCACTAGATGCAGCTCACGCTGCACTGCAGTTTGCTTTACATCATTCTAGTTTTTTAACGTTAAAAATTATTCCCCTTGTGTTTCTGGGTGTATGTGGCTTGAGGAGGTTGAATATCCTAAAATCTTCTTGTTTAACTTCTAAGTCTCTTTTTCCCGAACTTCTTGCTTGCTGCATCAACTGTTCCCGTTTTGAATGCCAAATCCTCGCTCCTCGTATTTCCACACAGAAATCTGCTCAGCTGCACTGCTTTGATGGACCTGTCACGGTAATTGGGAGGGAAGAAATCAGGTGGGTTAATAGAGAACACACTGATTTTCAACCACAAGCTGAGCACAGAATTTTACACTGAGCTTTCCACCTCCTGCCATTTCATTTCCCCAAACAGTTTTTACACTGCAGATGTTGCACATCAATGCTGCCTCCCAGTCACCAGACATCCAGGGTAAGGAGTCTCCAGCTCCCACCTCCAGTGTGAGGAAAAGCTCAGCACAGAGCCCAGGAGCTCACCAGGGGATGGACTAGGAGCTCTGTTCTGCTTTCAGTGCCCACCCTGCCCGATACAGCAGGGCGAAAGTGAGTCCCTTGGAGACACGGGGAGTCTGCAGGCAGCAGCTGCAGCAGATAGAGACCTGATTAAGAGCTATTTGAAGCAGTCCTGAGAAGAGCTGGAGGAGAGAAGAAATTAGGATGCCATTGCAAAAATCAGAATCACTGAAAGCTGGGGCTGGACATCAGAAAGGCAAAAGGGCTGAGGAAGCAAAGGAGTGACACTGTGGCTATCTCTGCCTTTTCCAGTACTCCTCAGCTCAGGAGTTACACTCAGTGCTGGGGAAAGCTCACTGATGCTGTGAAAAACCAACTTTGCCCTGGTCAACTGTGGGAACACAGGGCCACAGTGAGAGCCCCCCCTCACCTGCCCTAGCACTGCCTCTGAACAGGTTTTCCAGAATTACATAAAATGTTCCAATTTATCCTCTGCTTAAATGTGCTTCCCCTTGAAGATGTGCTTTTGGTCTGGATGCTTATTCCTTCCACTTCACCTACTGCTCAGCCCAGGGTTTGAGGTGAAAAAATAACACCTAAGGAACCCTGAGCTCTCCTCTTGTGTGTTTGATCCCTGCTGGCTGTGCTTGCTGGGTTTTCAACAGAAAGTTACCTGTACAGAAGGAACCCATCACCTCCAGCTGGGTGCCAGCCCTGGCTGCCACTGAGGTTGGATCAGCTCTGATTCTTCTGGAACACAGAACATGCAACTCTGGCTGTCACTGTGGAATCAACTCCACCTTAGTATACACTATTTTCTTACACAATGAGGCTGCTTATGGTGATGATATTCTTGTACTGTAGCATATAAGGAGCCAGGGTGCTAGAAATTACTGGCAGCAGCTGTGGGTACTCATAGGTAACAGCTGGGGAGAAGACCTAAGGGGCCTAGTTATTCTATTTTTCTTTGATGCAGTGAGATATTCCTATTAAGCAATTACCTCCTGGGAGAAGCAGCAAGGTAGCTGCACTATAATTCCTGGGTTGGTGGTTTTGTTGTTGGGTTGTTTTTTTTTTAGAAAATCTAAAATAATTTTTTCATAATGCACCAGATGAGATGGCTCAGACCTGCTGTGAAGGAAGCAGAAAGTAATGCTCACAGTTTGTAATATTTCCTTGAGCTTCTGCTTTTGCACTGAAAAATGAGCTTCCTCCCATTAAAATGCTCTTAAATGACAAATCCACAGCTGTTCTCTCCAGCTTGCTTGGAAACAGTAAACTCAAAGTGATCTATGTGATGGCTGTGGGCTAGCCAGCATGTTTTTCCCTTGCTAGGGGCATGGGGGATGATGTGGGCAGCCCCTTGGGCTCTCTAAGGCCACATTGCTATCTTTCAAGCTCTCCTTTCCATCATAGATAGGGCTGAACCAAAGGAAAAGCTCCCTGAGACTGAGCTTTGGGAAGCAGCAGGCAAATGTGTCCTCCAGCATCAGCCATCCAGAAGGAATTCCCCACCCAGACCTTCAGGAGAGGCTGAGGAGCTGAGCTCCATGGCTGGGAACAGCAAGTGACCGGAGAAGCAACTGCAGCCACGCTGGTCTGCCTGAGCACGCTGCACCAAATCTCACAGATGGCAGCAGGGAAGCAGAGCCTGGCTTTGGGAAACCCAGCACTGCTGCTTTGTGCAGGTGCCACCAAGCCCTCCCAGTGGAGCCAGTCCCAGCCCATATCCCTGCCTGTCAGCACAGGGCAACCCTGCCTCCCCTCCATAGCAAGAGCTGGATTGCTTTCATTTCACATTGAGGAAAAATACAGCAGGAAAGGAGAAGCAGATGTTTCTAGACAATGTCTACAGTTCCTGGAGGTTTTTGATTGCACAGACTTTAAAAAACATATAAAAGAGAGCCTCTGACTGTATTTTCAGTAGGGTAAAACCATCACTGAAATTTGTATGAGGAGAAGTTTTCAGACTGAGCCTATATGGGAAAGTCTTATTGCTCACAAACCATGTTTAAAATCCTTTTCACTGTTGGCTGGTTATTTTTCTCTCATGTGCTGTCTAACTTGCTATAACCCCAATGCCCTTGGAGGCATGTCCAACTCCTGCCTGTGCCAGCCATTATGGACAAAGCAAGGAGGCTTGCAGGTGGCAGAGGGTTTGTTCCCCTCCAAGGGCTGCTGCCAGGTGCCACAGGAGCTGCATCACTCCCCCTTGGGCAAATGAAGCAGAGAAATTTCAGCTCTACCAAGTACAGCATCTCAGTACTGCACTCTTTAACCATCTCCTTCAGACCACAGGAAATAACAGTGACCAGGCAAAGGCCAAGTTCCTCCAGATGGGAGTGCAGTTTTCATCCTAAATACAATTTCTGGAGCAGCAGCGTTTTGGGAGGAGGGTTGTGTCTTTCTCAGAGCTGGAGGATTATTGTTACTGCAGGGAGGACATGGAGATATGCATTTCTTCGGGCTGCCAAGTAAAAGCAGAGATGCACAACTGTCAGAAAATCCTGTCATCAGCTTCAGGTCATTCCTCTGTTCCCTGCATGGATCCCACATGCAGCTCCACACATCCTGCATGTTGCAGGGTCCTTCTCAGAAGTTGCTTTAAATGCTAAAAGAAATTCAATTAAAACTGGGTCTTATCTAAAGGCTTTGGACCATGTTCTCTGCCTTCTCAACAGGCTCCTGAGAAAGATGCTGCTGAAAAAGGTAACACAGAAGGGCTGTAAAGTGGTGGTAGATGCCTCCTTTTGCCATCTTTAAACTGGGAATGTTCACCTGCATGTTTCCTTACCCAGCTTTGTGGCCCTGTAATGATCCCTATGCCAACAGATATTTCAGCAGACGGAAGCACAAGTGGCTCTGCTGTCTCCTGTTACCCTCCTTTCTCATCATTTCTCACTAGCCTTCATCTCCCAGCCCCTGGTAGGGGGAGGAGCTTTTCCTGGGGAGCAGGTCACATCCCTGGGCAGCCCCCAAGTGACAATTCTGTGTTTGGGAGACTGACTGCCATGGGCCTCTCCTCTGCAGAGGCTTATGAGCACCATGATGCTATCTGAAAGCAGGGCTTTTGTTCAAGCTCTTTATCAATGAGTTAATGAGTAAATGAGCTAATGAATAAAGCACTGTAAGCCCTGCTGAGAGCCCTGTGTCCTTAGTGAGCTGGCCAGGGTATCAGGGTAAAAGTTCAGGTCAGGTCCAAGATGGCCTTTCTCTCCATGGCTACCCCAGGAACATCCAACACCAGCAACTCAGGTCCCAAAAGCTGCTTTTCCACCCACTTTTGTTCTCCCAGGGGCTTCTCCTGGGGGTAAGGGCTGCATTTCATCCAGGGGTCTCCCAGATGGGGCTGGCACACAGAAGGGCTATGCTTGGCCATGCACCCTTCTCTCAGCATTATTGTTTTTGTGCTCTGTATGTGCATCCCATGCAGAGGAAATGGGAGTTGGCTGCTCAGGCAAGCTGGATTTTACAGCTGGATAAGGTTTTGAGATTGCCTCATCCCATTGGGAACCTGTCCCTTGGGTCCAGGGAAGCTTCACACACATATTGGCTTCAGTGGGCTGTTCGTGTCTCCCTGAGCTCATAGCCAAGAAAATGGACAAATATCTGCCCTGCAGCAAGGCTGAGGTTCCCAAAAGCCCCCACTGTTTATAAAAATCACAATTTTCTGCAGCCAGCTAAAGGCAGATAATGTATAAATGCTCCCATATGTCTCACAGGGCTTTCCCTACCCCTTTGCAGAGCCACCTCACGCTGCTCTCCCCCAGCTCCAGGGGTCCTGTGAGACCACAAGCCCTCAACAGCAGATTGTAGCAAAAATGAGAGTTTGGAGCCCTTTCACTCTCAGCATAATTTCTCACAAGCACAGTTTTTAATTTGATTTCTTCTTGGCTTGTTTCCTCCTGTGGTGTATACACATCTTGCAAGCAATGAGGAATTTGGATGTCACTTCTCATTTCCCCTCAGCCTTCCGGATCCAAGTCCTGGTTATCCTTTTTCCCCTCAATGTGGAGAAACAGAACAGTATGTTGGGAACCAGCTGTAAAGCTCTCAGCCAAAATCTGAGTAGGAAGCATCTTAGGATGATCACTGGGTACTATGTGTCATCTCTTCCCCCACCACAACAGGACTTTGGGTGCTCAGGGAAAAGAAGTTGACTCTGTTGGCTGTCCTTTCCCTTTTTTTGCACTCCTGGGAAGAGTACCAGCCAAAAAACTTGTCTATTCCTTCTTTCAAGGGATGGCATGCATGACTTCCTGAAGAGGAAGACTTGCTGATCCCCATGTTGAGAATATGTCCCTGTCTTCACTCTGTTCTCCTTTGCCCCGCCTGCACACTCACCATTTTGCAGCTGGAAGAAGCTGGTAGGAAGCCACTTGTACCTGTGCAAAGCCAGCCCTGGCTGCAGGGAATGTTTTGCCAAGGGCAGAGGAATGATGATGCAAACCATTGCTAAAGACTGCAGATAAGCTCCATGCTGCCAGGCTAGCTTGAATGGGCTTACACTGCTGAGCTTGAGGATTATTCCTGTTCCTGCGTGAAACATTGCAGAGAAAGAGGAATCTGTGTCAGACATGAAGTCAAAACTCCCAGAAACCTATTTGCAGCTCCTAGGAATGGTCACTCTCTCCTGGTATTCCTCTTGCAGACCTCCCCTGCTGGGATCTGCTCCCTGGGCTGTTCTCACGCTGTGGCTCTCTCTGGGATGCCTGAGGAAGGTGTGCTGGCATTTCTCAGTCCCATGACTGAGGTTGTATATGTTTGGGTTATATCAAGTTACACAGCCTTGGTCCTGAGGAATGTCAGGCCCTGGCACAGGTGCCCAGAGAAGCTCTGGCTGCCCCTGGAGCCCTGGAAGTGCCCAAGGCCAGATTGGATGGGGCTTGGAGCAGCCTGGGATAGTGGAAGGTGTCCCTGTCATGGCAGGGGGTGGGACAGGATGGGCTTTAAGGTCCTTCCAGCCCAAACCATTCAATGATTGTCTTTCCAATCCCATGTTGGTCCTGTTTAGGAGGTCCAGGGATATTCTGCAGGTGGGATGAGAAGCACTGAGAGCTGAGATGAGCACTGTGCCTGTGCCATGCATATCCCTGGCTTTTCCTGCTTGCCAAGAGCAAGTAGTGCACACAGACATTCACCTTAAGAACTCTCCACCATAAATTTGAAAAGAAGGCATGAACAAGGAGTTACATTTACAGTAACTAAGTGCTGGCACAGGGTGTGCATAAGGTGATTAAAAAATTCTCCTCTCTGGCTTGCTTAATAATCTGGAAAAAACCTGGCATACTCTCGGGGACTGCAGAGTTTAATATCTGGCTGATGATGCTAATTTAATTACATGCCAGCAGGTGGTGCCCAAGTAGAAAAAGGAGACAATTTAATACAGTATTCTCACAATTTAATATCATATTCTCACTCCAAGTGAGGTTGCGAGTGGCATTTCATTTTCGAGCCATGATCCAGCCGTTCAGACAACATTTAACAACTCAATATTGGTGTTTTCTTCTTTTCTGCTTCATCCCATCTCCCCAGACAGCTCCCAGATCTTCAAGGCTTGTGGGAGGGATGGGAAGTACCAGATGATAGCAAGGAAAGCAGTTCTAAATCCCACCCAGTCTGAAGGGGCTGCTCGGTCCCACTGCAGTTGAAGCTGTGGGAGGGGACGGGTCAATCCAAACGAGCATCTCATGGCTGGTAGGCTGCAGTTCTTCCCAGGTGCACTCATTGCTTCTAGAGAGTTACACAAAAAATGT